AAGACATGGTCATAATTATGATTTACTGTCAATTACTACTCTGGGTGCAAGAATCAGTGCTCTTGACTATAGGTAGCTCTTCATTCTAAATCACTGTGCTTTCACAAGAAACTGGTGCATTACACTGCAGCTGCAGAACCCAGCTCCCCTCTCTGACTGCTCCATAATTTGGATTTACAGACTCCTCTCTTACTTGCTGGGTTCGAGGCAAACTCTGGCTAAAAATATGCCTGCACCTGGGATGTCAAATTTCCCCAAAATGGGAAATCTCTAACAATTTGTCCAGCTGTCTTTCCACCTCTTTTAGTCTTCAGAACACTCCAGCATCTCTGATAAGCACGTTCTCTGTGAAATCACAGAGGCAATTCATGATTTTTGGATCACAGCTGATCCACATAGCTTAAAAGCTAAGCCCCTGGCTGATCAATCAGATTCCTGTGGAAGGACCTTTGAGCCAGGAGAGATCCTGAGTGAATTCCATGGCTCTCTGTGCAGGCTAAAGGTCTATCCAGTTGTATTCTGCTAGTGATCAGTCAGAGTCTAATACTGTGTCTATTTGATGCTATGTTAATAATACATATTACTATTAGATAATAAGGCACTTCTTTAAAAAAAAACCAACCACCAAAGTCCTCAAATCCCTAGGTCATTAGAACACAGTTGGGAAGAGGGACAGAAAGAAAGCTCTTCTCTATTAATTTGACATATCAGGAATATTGCTTACTGTTATTTCTGTTGTAATCCTAAAGCAAAAACCTAGTGTCCTGCTCACTTCAGGCAATGGCATCTCTTCATTTCAGAATGTTTGTCTATAAAGCACCTGTCAATAGGCATAAATGTGCTAAAATTTGCATCTATTTTGATTCCTTAAAAAAGTTCAATGACTTTGGACCCAGATTTGAGGTGATACATCTGACATTGTTAAGTGAGCTAAGGAATAATACCACTGGCACCGTTTGTGTGCCGGGTGACCACTGCAAACCAGTGACTGCAAGCAACGTGGACACTAAGTTTGAGCTCTAAGGTTTACTCTGCAATAACTGATGGCTTCCACACCTGTGCAGTGACTCCAGCTTTCTTGGCTGAAAATTTTGGCCTCGGAGCAGTAAACAAAGAGGGGGTGGTGGTTTCTGGCTTAGAAAATGCAGAGTAGCCCGTAGGTGAATATGATTCGTTTACTGGGAGAGAGGCATTTGACTGGAACGGAGGTTGGGAACCGTAGGCTGGCACAGAGTACACTGAAGATGGCCGGGCCCTGGTGGGAGAGCCAGCACCGGGTGGGAGGAAGGTAGGCAAAGGTAGAGCTTGCTTGGAAGGGGGCAACTTCGATGTCTGCTTCATGGCAAGGCTTTCCTTAGGAGGTTGGAAAGTAAATAAAGAGGGATCGAGTTGATAAGGTTGATGTTTCATAATATCCAAAGCATTGAGACCTTTCTTAGGTTTTCTTTTTGTGTTTTTGGTGGCAGCAGCAGACTTGGAGGAAGCCTTGGAAGCAGCAGGAGGGTAAGATGGGCAGTGGATGGGATTGTAAGCAACGGGTGGAGGTGCTCGGACATTGGATGAGTATTTCCAAGAAGCTGGCAAAGATGGTGTTGGAGATGGGGCTCGTGCCATGTTTGCCTGCACAGTCTCTGAATCCACCACGTACTTCTCCATTCGGGAGTGCCTCCTGGCAAACAGCTGTGCTCCTTTCCCGCTCATGGCCGGTGGCATCTCAAAGGGTGGCTTCGTTTCCCCGGCACTTGGTGTGACTGGGGTTGGCTTTGGGGCATAGCTGGGACTTGCCAGGCTCGCCTGGGGCCCTTTAAAAGGACCAGCTAAGTTGAGAGTACTTGGGGGATGGGCGGGAGAATGAGGATACTGTGGAGATTTCGGTGGTGCGGGATATGCTGCCTGAGGTGAGGCTGGTGCTGGGAAAGAAGGAGCCTTGTTAGCAGCCGCAGCTGAAGGTGACCAAACCGGTGAAACTGGAGCACCGGCGGAGGGAGAGACCTTGAGTGAAGGTTTTGGAGCAACAGGAGGAGGGGCCTTTTGTTTAGATGCTTGAGTCTGCATGAAATTGCAAGCTTCTGCTCCCAAACTGAGGTAGTCTTCTTCAGGTCCTGACTCAAAACCAGCTCCAGCACCTTTTTTGCCCTCTGAATTGTGTACAAGGGACAACAGGGCGGGATTGGGACTTACTTTGGGTGCATCTTTGAAGTTGAACATGGGTTTTGAAGTGCTTCTTCTCTTTGCCTCTTGCAGTATGCCAGTTCTTTTGGCTGGCACGGCAATCCTTTCATCCCTGGATGCTATGTGTTCCGTGGGCTCTGTGGGTGCCCACATACTTGGGGCAGCCTTGCTGGCCACGGGAGCTGAGACAGGTCTGTAGAAAGCCTCGGCTGGTGGGCTGACAGAGCAGTAGGGAGGCGGCGCTGCTGCATCTGAAAGAGGACTAGTGACATTTCTTACGGGTGAAAATGGTGCAGCTGCTCGGTTTTGAACCCCAGAAGGGAAGGGTTTAGCTGTTATATTCAAAGATGGTGCTTTGGGGGCTCCAGAGGACTGAAAAGGGAGGTTTGTGCCTGGTGCTAAGCCAAAGCCATTTTGTTGCACAATTTTGCTGTGGTTCTGGCTCACATCTGTGTAGCTTTTGCTCACACAAGTCTGCTGTCTTGATGTTTCCTCCTCCTTTGATTGATAGACTGAAGAGCTTACTTTCTGGAAGTTCTCTGTCACGGTGGTTTCCCTGTGTTCCTCTGTCTGCACTGTGCTGGCCTTCATCTCCTCTTGCTCCGCTGTAATCTGATCCATCCTCTGCCGTCTCTTGGCAAACATGAGGGCCCCTTTCCCTGTGCTGTCTGCGAGCGTCTGCATCTCCTCTCCACTCTTTGTCTTCTTCTCAACCTCGAGTAGACCACTGTCCCAGTCAAAGGTCACAATCTTACCGTCCTTGTCAATGTCAGAGAAGAAATCTTCATCTATTTCTGACTCGCTGGTTGCAAGCAAACTCACTTCAAAGGTGTTTTCTTTGTCCCCCTCTTCACCTTCGCCCTCCTCACCCTCGTCTTCGTCCCGTTCTAACTCCCCAGTCCCGTAGCTCACTAAAGTGTATTTCCTCGCCCTTTGGCGGCGCTTCTTGAACATCAACACCCCCTTGGAATTGGGGTTGGGAGCTGCTGTCAGCAGCAGTGCAATACTTTTACATTTAGATTTGGCTTCCTTGACCTGCTTCTCTGACAGGCTCTCACTTCGTCGGAGCCCTGTGGAGAGAATCAAAGTACGCATTTATTTACAAGCATCCCACACAATTACAATTGCTGCATTTATCTATACTGAATGGTATCCACCCTCCCCTTTTCCCATAGTAAAACATGTATTTTCTTCCATATGGAAAGCTCATTATACTTCAGCTTTTCTCCCACTATCAGCTGTGTGGTAAATTCCATCCCCAGCATTCCTTAGAGTCACACCCATGCAAGTTCAAAGGCTTCATCGCTTTCTTTAGGACTCCCTTAGTTCAACAGGGATATTACATGTGTCTTTATTTCTAGCATTCTTAATTTTTATTTTCACAAGTAATCTCAGCAGCAACAGGCAGGTGATATTTTCTCACTCATCCAGCTTCTGGTCTGGTATTTACTGAGTGTTTGACCACAATTCCTGGGCTTCCAGCAGCCATTCCCAGCAAGCCGGACTGTTTAATATCTGAGACCAAATGAAACCGAGCATATTCTGTCAGACAGTGGTAGCAGCTTCTGCCATTTAGGTGTTTATTTTACTCCTATAAATTACAAAATGTGTATAGTTGCTATAGGATGCTTTTATGTATTAGCTATTTAAAAGCAAGGATACATCCAAAAAGGCATACACAGAAAATTATTAGCATCAACTTTCTGCCCCTTGGAACATGTGGGAGTTTGGCTCAAGGAAAGCAGGTTTCAGTCTTTTAACAAGCATTACCTGCCTGGAATATAATCCAAAGTTCTGTAGGATATCAGAGCTCCAGGATATTTATTTTGAAAATGTGGCAAGAGTGAATACACAACTGACTTCTCAAGAGTATTCACTAGCATATATCAATGGCACATATTTCTTAAAGCATAAATTACTGGTTTTCATCAAGTCATGTGGAAGGGGAACAGATGCAACTGTAAAGCTGATGGATGCTCTCTACGTCAGCCCGACTGCTTCCTTGTTATGGAACATGGAGCATGTGCCTTATGGGGCAATACTGGTCAGGTGGTGTCCCTGTTTCTTTCCTTTCCTCATACTCTACCACTGCATCTCATGAGTGACAGCCTCAATAGCTTCTCCCTTCAGAAAAAAAGCTGGAATTCAAAGCTCTTCCTTTTGAATTCAATGGTCCCTTCCACCTAATTTCAAAAGGAAAAAATGTGCCTCTAATATAAGAAAATAGAACAGTAAATTATTTAGTATCTTTTGCAAGCATAAATAAAGCAAACTTATTAAAGAAAGCCATGTGATGAGGTGTTGTCTATTCATGATCCTTTTAGCTGTGTCAGTAGATGGAGTCTGATACTTCTCCTATTAAAGACAATTGGAGTTTTGCCATTATGCCAGATGACAGCACGACTGGACCAATGGTTCTCTCAAGAACCATGAAAAAGAGCATGGCACCCAAACCAGCAATTTGTAATATTTTATCGTGGGAGAGTCAAATCACAAAATCCTTGGCTCAGTCCTGTGACCATCCAAATGCTTACAGTAGTCACTGCAGACTATTTCCAAAAGTACAGGCTGTAGTGTTAGAGTGTTACCTGTTCAGGTAAATATAATCTGATTATTATTTACAGAGGAAATTCCTGCTAAAGAGATCAAGCACCTGTAATAACTGTTCTTCTCTAGTTCAGGCTGAAGTGCTGCATTATAACTTCTATTTTTGCAGAAAACATGCGTAGTATTTGCTGCACACAGAGTATTCCCTGTGCTCAGCAATTTGTTCATTTTAAATTGTAGATAGGATTTTAATAATAATAATAATGCAAAAACTTTTATAGATTTAATCAGTGGTTCCTAAGGATAGTGACCTGCCACTAGATGAGAAGAGACTATCGTAGTTGACACAGGAAAAGAATTGGATCTATGTCCTGCTTGAAAGAAGAATTTATCAGGTAAAATTTAGCTCATGCTTTGTACTTTTGCCTTTTCAGACTGGCACTGCAAGTAATTCTTTAAGAAAGACAGGCACAGTCCCACAGTTGGTTCTGACTTCGCAGCCAAAATGTGAAGCATGTGCACTTTTCTTTTATACTTCATTTAATATGCCCAAAATATGTGGGTTGCATACAGACACTTAGGCATAAGCCACTGCTTAATCCACTTGCCAATAAGACACAAATGGTTGTCATGCTAAAAATATGCTTCCCGAGGAATTAGCAGTGGGTTAGCGGAGAAGTTCCAACACTGCATATGAAATAGCTTGTTGCTACAGTATATCACTGCACACATTCAAGCACCTTTGACATACTGCTGCTAAATCCCCAGACAGGATTCTTCACATTGTTGGGAAGGAGCGAGCCACCAACAGAGGGGTCCCAGACGGAGAAAATAGTAAATAAATAAATAAATAGGTTAATTAGTAAATAATACACATCTACGCCCGGTTAAATTAATACTGGCTCCAGTGGCAAGTTTACTGCCATGTAAACTTCTTGGACACATTTTGAAGCTGACCTCTGGGTATGGGAGTCAGGAGAAATAGCATGTTCACTTTACAGTCTGGAGAAGGCTGACAAAACCAAAAGGATCATGTAACAGTTATACACATGCTAGTGTCTGTCAAAATCTCTTCTGCAGGCAACATCAAGCTTTTCTGCTGGCCCTTTTTATTAACTTTTCAGAGCAGTGGCATGGCTTTGATTCTAGATAATGCAAATGGCAAAGCAAAGCTTGTGCTATAAAAGGAGAAATCCCCAGGATTCACATGTGCAAGCAACTTGCTCTTTTTGTTAATATTCTACAGATTGCCTCTGAATATGCATTAGAAGACCAGCAGAGTTCAGCCCTTTCTGGAGATGTAAGTATTTTTAGTTGGACAAAGTCATGAGTTACTTTCAAAGTGGAAGTCTAGTAAGCACAGTTATTCAGCACAGTTCAGGCGTGGGTACACTCTTGGCTCATCACCAGGAGCATTGTATTACCCTGAAAGAATATCTAAAGCAAGAACAGAAACATTCTTTAAAAGAAAAAAGGAAAGGGAAAGTTAGAAAACTGCAGGAAAAAAAAATGTCTAAACATTTCTTTCTAATGCCTTCTAAATCCTGAAATTATATCTAAAGTTACAAAAGATGCCCTCAGGCAGTGCAAATGATTAGATGGGACATACTTACTTGCGTGCCTTGCCCTGTGCTTGAGAGGTCTGTGTTCCTTTTCCGAGGGCTTGTTGTCTTCTCCCTGCTCTGTGCCTTCTGGTGAGATTGCAAAGGAGAGGAGGGAAGGAGGTGCTTCTGACTGCCCTCCTTCTGCTTGAGAATCAACACACCCCCTTTCAGACAGAGACCTGGGCGCTTCCTGCTGGCTGTCTGAACAGTCTAGGATCACCTCCACCCTGGGGATAGATGGAACTGCACCTTGGATCCTCTTGACCTCTTTGCTGCTGGAAAATTGGACTACTTTGTTTGACCACTGGACGTTGCCCTCTTTCACACCCAGGGGGATTGCGATGAGGGGGCTGGTCCCGTCCTGTTGTACACTGGCTCCTCTTGCTGAAGGGGGGCATTTCTCTGCCCCCAGGAGAGTCACAGCAGGAGCACTGTGGGTGCCCTTGTGGGTGTCATTGGAGAGGGACAACTGCAGCTCAACCATAGTACCTGGCCTTCTTTCTTCTGTCTTCCCTCTGAGAGCAGCCTCGTCTGCCACGAGCACTTTGGAGGTGCCTATCACTTTAGGAGTAATTCTGTGGCTTTGTGTGGTCTCTTGTTTTGTCTCAGAAAAGTTTACATTGCTTTCTGCTGCTCCCTGGTGAGTCCCACTGTATATCTCTGTGATGCATAAATCTCCACGGGGTATCTCTTTCGCCGTGTTAATTTGCAGTGTGGTGTTCTCCCTATAGTCCTCATTTTTTGTGTTCTCGGGCTTTCCATTTGCTCTTTCAGCACTCAAGGTTTCATTTATTCCACTGGAGGATCTGCACATACATAAACAAGTAATTCCAGAAATTAGGCTGCTGTAAGCACAGCCGTTGTAAGTACAGTTACAAAAGCAGTTTCTCTAGAGAATTTCACCCCTTATATTAACTGTGGTACCTGCTAGCAGGTCCATATAAATAGAAGAATTTTCCCAGAATGTAGAGGTCTTAAATTGAAGCATCCTTCTATCTTTCAAGATTCTTAAACGCAATAGTACAGTAAGAGGGAAATTACACACCAGTGGTAGAACTGTATCATTCCTAACATCAGTGTACTTTCACAGACACATTTCTATTATAGGGTTTCCAGACAAATGCTGCTGAGACTTCTGGGACAATATTTCACATGTTTATCAGAAAATTAACTTTGCATGACACCAGAACAGGGGCTGTGGCCACTGCTGCAACTGTGTTAGGCACCATCCTCACATGGAGTTCCTGTACCACACAGTTCACTCTCTAAGGGATACATAAGAACTGGATGAGGATCAGAGGGAGGGGAATGAATACTTAAAATACACATTCAAAGAATTCCTGTGAGGATCATCGTCCTTATATATCATGGATCAATTAAAATACTCTGGGCCTATTCCAGTGATCCAGCATAAAAGGCTGGTGAACTTATGCAATATTTCCTAGTTATTTAAAAATATGTATTTCTAACTGGAAAATGTTATTTGCGCTTCCTGAAGCCTAGTATATATCTCAGTGTAGCTCCCTTCCCTAAACTCTTAATTGCCCTGGCCCAGTTAGGCTGTTTTACTGGTGTTACTCTTTAACTCCTTCTCTCAGTACTCTAGACCATACTGACAACTATTAATTTGGGAAGAAACCTTCTCTGTACGGCAAGACTACAGGATGCTATTAAGACTTTCTATTGACTAGAAGGTAGCAAAACACTTTTTCGAATGAGACAAGCAGTAAGTTCCCTCAGTAAAGTATTAATATTACATATCATGGAGATTTTTGAAATCACAAGCAGTCCCGGGTATTCTGAAACTTTGGAACTCCCTAAAAAGAAAGGCTGGAAGAAGCAACAGAAGAAATAAATCTGTCAGTGCACTGAAGAAGCTCCAATATCACTTGCTCTTCTAGCCATGCAGCCCACTGTTTGTGGCAGTCTGGGTCTGCCTCAAATAGCACAAAATGTGTAACATCCATTTCACCACATATGGAGCTACATAAAGGTCAGACGGATTTTAATTTAGGGAGCTCCTTGAGAGTGCTGCTGGATCCCATCAGATTATGCTGTTTGGATGATCAATTGTACTGCTCTCAAGCACAGATAAATTACAGAAATCTGTAAACATTTCCATGTAAGATATGGACTGGTGGCTGGGCCAGCTCAATGTTAGCCTTTATTGGTAGCTGAATGATTGTGTGTATGTGTGAGAGGGAAAGATTTCCACCTTAAAAGGCCCTTGCTACGTATGGATATACTTCTACTCTATATAGACATAACTTATCCTCTGTCAAAAGGCAGAATACTGGGTCTGACCTCTTTTTTGTCATTTAAGATTCTGTTTTGTCAAATTATTACTTTTGTTTCAGGCCTTGCCAGCTCGCTGCAGGAACAACAGCCCTGGTGTAATTCCAGGAAGGAAGCAGAACCCGTGGAGTCGGCACGGCAGGGTTTGTCTCAGACTCATGTTTTACTCCCTACATGGTGCATTTCATGTTGGTATGCACTGAGCACACTCCCTCCTTCCCCTGGAAATGTTCTTTCTAGACTCAGCAGTAGCCCAGGAGTTGCTCACACTGATGTGAAAAGGACAGGCTGGTGTTTCAGTCCCCACTCCCCGTGTTTTTCCGGATACATCTGTTCAGCATTTGTCAGGAAGGTCAGGAGATGCTCCCCCACATGGCATCTGGAGAGTGCCCGCCCTGCAGGGTGTCGCTTTCCTCTGATCCTGCAAACAGGACATTTTCTGGGCTCTGCTGCTCAGTAACTGACTGTGCTTTACAGGGAATTGGGAAAACTTTTTGTAGACATCAAAGGCCAAGTACCATTTTTTTAAACTACTTTGGAAGCGTAATTTGCCTCCCAGTAAGACTAATATGAGCAAAATTGGGCCAACAATTAATGCCTGTGAAAACCTCACCCCTCTTGCAAATGGTTCAGGAACAACCAGAATATTCCCAGTGGAAAATATTCTTCCCTGCCGACAAAAGATACTTAGATGTAAAGATCACCATTGGAATACCACTGTAATTATTCTTTCCTCATGATTTCAAGCGTTTTCTTGAGGTGGCTGCTAACAAGTGGCCACTCAGGAAAGGAAGGATTTGCTTCACATTGCTTTCAGAGGATGCTAAGACACTTCCTGAAAAGTCCTTCTGGTGGTAGTGCTGAGAGGGATAGTACCACAAACAAGGTGGGAGGGGAAGAGAAATGTTTCAGTCTATTCTCCCATACTTGGGAAGATACTGCCAGCACGGGCTGAGATTTGGGAGAGATGAGCTGGGGAGAAGAAATTCAAAGATTCTCCCAGTGAATTCCTTTAGACCATTTTGTCCCTTTCAGAGTGTTGAGCAACTGCAATTTCCTTAATATTTCTACCAGACATGGTTTCGTTCCATGAAACACTGATTTAGGTGGTTGAAGCAGTGTTTTGGTTCTGATTTTTAGGACGTGCCTTGCTGTTCACCATACATTCAAGCAAGGGCAGTGGGGAGTCCCTCTCAGCCAGAGTGTCCTGCAGCCTTCAGACAACTGAAATATCAGTTATAGAACAGCAACAGGCAGGAGTCAAAGCATGTGGAGCTATTTCTGTGGCTGCAAAGACAAGTGGTCAGCCACAAATACCATTTTTACAAGTGCAATTCTAGTAGTCATGTTATGCATTAAAAACATAAGAATGCAGGTATCATATGAGGAGCACTGAAATGGTACCCTTAAGTCCTTACAAGGAGCATGTGTGGAAGTTTCAAGTCTTTTCTTCCTCTTCTTAACCCCAGTGAAGGCAATTCGGGGTTCATCTTGTCTGAATTCACAAAGTCTGGGGAGAATGTGCTTGCAGGAGGTGGGCAGGCATTGGAGTAGACTGATGTGCAGTGAGCAGATTTGCAAATTTACATGAAGCTTCTCTAAGAAACTCAAAGCATTTGCAAAGAAAATTGAAATTCGCTCTCACTGTTTTACAAATGCAGAATCTGAGACCCAGAGAGCTGTAAGTGACTTGCCCCACCTCATCTAGGGAGGTGATAACAGCTACAGAAATAGAATTCCTGACTTCCAGACCCTCTCCCCCTTCTGACTCCTAACGCATTCTGCCACCCAAGAAGACCATTTGCCATGTCATCATCAAGGCATATCTGTGTAACACACTTTCCCCATCTATACAGCCTTTGCTTTTTGTAAGCCTCACTTCCCTATCTGTGGGGAATAACAACACTTCACTGCTTCAAAGGGGGAGAGAGAATATTTGAACTCAAGGCTCTGCAGTTTGCAAATATTAAGAATACTTATATTTGGAGACTGCATGCTTAATTCTGTGCCCAAACACTGCTGTTGAAACCATATACATTAATTCCTCCAGCTCAAATACTCTGTCTTCCCACCTTTTCCATACAGACAAGCAGAGTCACAGACATTAGCAACAGGACTATGAGAAGCTCCCAGTATAAGTCTGTAAAATGAGTGTGTTCAAAGGCAGCATTTTCCAGGTGATTCCCTGAGTTGCATCGAAGCATTCTGAGCATTCCTGTACCTCTTGATAAGCATCTGCAGGACGTCAGTCAGGCTTTCCATGAGAATGATGACCTCAGCATAGGTCAGGTCTCCACAGGGCTTGCCATTGATGGACACCACCTCATCCCCCTCGCACAGCCCAGCCTTGGCTGCTTTGCTTTTGCTGCGAACCTACAACGAGTCAAAAACAAATTCCAAATTGCACGGTTAGCGTTCATTTGAAAACAGCAGCAACCAGGTCCTCAGCTTACTTTTATCTGCACCAAAGAAAAAGAATCAGTAGTATTGGTCATAAATAAATTCCTGGTAACTTGTCGCAGTTGAGGTTAATACTGTTCTGGCCAGTAATAACAAATGCAAACCGTCTGCTTTTCTGAACTCGTGAGCTAGAAGATGTCAGACAGGCTGGATTTGTTATTTTAAAACTGGGAGACATAGAAATTTGGGACAGTAATCAATTGATTGCTGTTCAGAAGAAATGCCAAAAACCTCATTAGTTTCTCTGAAAATAAAAGGCTACTAGAGCTGAAATCTACACCAAGATTTGAGAAGAGTGTATAAATTCAGGCCTCTTTGGGCAGAATGTCAAGATCTACATTCTGTTAGGGCTGTAGGTATAGAGACTCCTGGTATACTGGGCATTTTTTCCTTGGATGCCCAAGTGTATATTTAGTTGCCAAACTATAAACATCTGTATCCCTGGAGATCCTAAATCCATGTTTAGTCATCTCAATGAGTGTCCTAATTTATTAAAGTTATGTCATGCCTGTTATGGTTTAACCTTCCCTGCTAAGTTCTCATTCAAGAATCTTATGCAGCTCAGTTTTTGCTGTTTCACTCCTTTTTCCACTGGCAGCATGTTATAACTTACCACAGTCTTTGTATAACAAAACCTAGACAGCTTTAACACCACTCAAGGTATGCTGTACAGTTGACTGCTATTTTTAAAGTACATATTTGGCAAAGAGTGTGTTATATTAACCAGGATGCTTGCAGGAGTCTATTTTAGAGTGACACATACACAAAAAAGGGCTGTCCTTGGGTTCTTTGATCTCAGTCTTCTACCTGTTGGTGTGAGTACTTTGGCCTTATATGATATTCAGCTGGTGATGACATGTGTTATCCTTATTAATTCTCACAGCATTTCCTTGAACATTTTTAAAGAAGTAGCATAGTTCTGTACTCTTCATACTACACTCACAGCAGCAGAGACAGTCCCCACTGACTCTAGGGGAGCTACTTCTGATACACACCAAATTTGAGGGTGCAGCTGCCCCACAGACTCATGGAATTATCCCAAATCCATTATTAAGCCACCAGGATGGTACCTAAGACCCATTTCTGGAAGCAACATTGAAAAGATTCTTGGAGTCGGGGTGATATTTGGCAGGAAGAATGAGAGTGCACGTTTTTCTGTGGCAGTGCCACCACATATATTTTTGCTGCTTCAATTTACACATACCCATATGTCATATTGTGGCTCTTGGAGCAGGGAAGGACCAGAAGCCTGGTGCATACAGAAGCCAGTCCCTACCTTGCAGAGTTAACATTTACAAATATGGAGTGGTATGCTGCTCTGTTTAGCTCCCCTTAGACAAGAGCATAAACTTCCTTGTGCTTTGGGAAGAAATGACAGTTTGGACGGTGTTTAGAATGTGTTGCTTCATATATGAGCTAGAATTTGGGTTGAGGTGCAGTTACTGTTTTGTTTTTTTTTAATAGGAAGGTATGCTATGAAAATTTTACAAGACATCCTAGGCCTGAATGTAAATATTTAATGTAGATGCCATGAGGAATTTTGAGTGACATGTAAACAGCCATTATAGCAACTTGTTAAATAGCATAATGTGATACCTGGATTGTGAGAAGAAAACTTGTTTCTGTTTCTTTATTAAGTGTTGGAGAATTTGGGGTCAGTTCTGTCATAGATTACCATTACAGCTGTTTCAGGAGAGAAACTGCTACCTATTCCATAACTTCAGTGATGTATGTCAAAAAGCAAAAGTACAAATGACAATGTTGGTAGCTCTACATGAATTTCTAGGCAGCTCAGTTACATGATTTTTTTAAATAAACTCCTTGGTAGCATTCAAAAAAAAATAGACAAGGGTATTGAATTTCCTTTTAAAGTTGTTGAAAGGACCTCTCAGTCCATTTTGTATTATCCTTTTTTTCTCTTTTTTTGGCATTTCTGTTGGGGGAATAAAAGGGAGGAGATAGCAGTGCCCAAAAAATGGGCAGGGGCAGATTGTGTGGTAAATTATAGCAGGGTGCTGCTAGGGTAGAATATCCCATCATCATTTGTGTTATTTTAGCCTCAGCATACTGCCAGCTTACTCAACAATAAATAGACTGCCTTGCCAGGCAAGTTGTCATTGTTTCTGGCTTTGTTTGTTTGTCTTTACTGGAAACCCACACAAATGAGCAAATAATTTACACATGTAAACCAAAACTTTTCAGATTTCTGGCAAAAATTAAAAAACAAAATAAAAATCCCAAGAACAGCTCCAGGATCTTCCTGGTAAAATATGTGTTCAGTGGACAGTTTTCTCTCAGAGGAAGAAAGGCAGAAAGCCTTTGAGGACCCCACTGGGAAACAAAAGCTGCCTTTGTTAGCAGAAATACAACTTGGTCATAAAAGAGACAGTAAGAAACTTTTATCCACTTCTTACGAACTTAAAACAAGGCACATTTGGTTGTAAAGCAGAAAAGATTTTTCCAAAACAAGTGATTGCTCTTGCCTTACAGTGCAGCCCTGGCTTTCTCAGGTACTTGTTTCTCCTGTCTGCTTCGGGTTGGAGTTTTCTTTAGGAAGAAAAAGTGGTTTTACGCTGTAAAATTTGTGAATTGGATCTCACTACTAGAAAAATATGTTTATAAAGATTTTCTTAGTTTTTCAATGCCTGCAATTCCAGTATAAAACAGCAAAACTGAGCCTGTACTGTTAGTGCAGAACCTGTCAAGGCACAGCTGCTCCTGAGGCACATTGAAGAGCTTCACCCCCCTGTCCCCTGGTGCTGCCTGTGTTGCTTTCCTGCTCCCCCTCAGTCAGGACTCTTCATTATTCGATTTACCTGAAGTATGTAATTTCTTTTTATTCCCAGATAACCGCTGCCTCTGGAATTTCCCACTGTCAGGAGTGCCCTTTGCTGATTAAAATGTCAAGTGCTGAGCAATTCCTCAAATCCACAGAAATGTTCATCTTAGGGGAAAGTTCCTTTTGTGAGGAGCTCAGCCAGGGATGTTTGCTGTCATCAGAGCACTACAGAGGATCCAGGGCCTCCTGGCATCAGTTCACAAGCAGCAGGGACTGGGGGCTGTCCAGGGGCCCTTCAGGAGGGTCTGTAAAGACTTGGGCTAAAACTGTGAGTGAGCAAGGAGTGGGTGCTGTGATGCCCTGGTGAGAGATCACATCCCAGAGGCACAGGTATGTGGGGGGGAAAGTGTGGGATAGTCACTGCTGTGGGTTGGTGGTAGCTGTGGAATGCTGCTGGGGCTGGAGCAGCCATGGATGCCTGCAGCACATGGCAATTCCAATCGGTGTCTTAACCAGTGAAAGGAATATTAGATCTCCTCCTTCGATTTAATCTGAAAGCAGTTTACTTTGTACAAACCCCAAACTTCCATCCTAAGAAACGACGTATGGTCCATCAGGATAACAGGGAAATTTGCTTCAAAAAATGTAGTCCTGATGAAGCTGAAAAGCTGGAGTAGGTGCACCTGTCACTTGTTGTGGCTGCAAGTGGATGCACAGACAGCAACTGGGGCTCAGCTTACCGGCTGATGATCTTGGGTGTGTGTCTGAGCCCTATAATAAGCAGAGCAGAGAGCTGAGATATGTTGAACCTGGTAACAAGGTCAATGAGTTGAAGTTTAAAGCCAGGGAGATGGACCTGAGGACACTCTGCAGTCCTGGTTCTCTAGTTGCTCAATGAAGAGTTATTAGAACATTTCATCATCTTGTTTTTACCAGTGACTTTTGGGAAGGATGATGTATATCCTAATTTTATTCTGGAGTTTATTCTGGACCTAGGCGTATATACCTGTATCTGGGATGCGTGTCTAAGTGCTGTGCTTCAGATGTAGCCTGACTGAGCAACCAATCTCAGAAAATGAGCAACCTGAGCATAAATGCAACACTTAAATAGATAAAGGTTTTAAAAGGAAGACTGCTGTGGCCTTAAAATATACATTTATTTGCACAGCTTGATTCTCAATTCCAAGCAAGCTTTCCAAACCATGGGTTATTCTCAAAACTATTTACCGATCCTTTTCCAGTTTGCTGGTAGCTTTTAAACACCAGGACAGAAAATATTGCCACTGGATATAGTGGAAATACACTTCCCTGTCATTTCAGGCCACTTGCTCATACAGACTAGTTTCTGGAAGAGCCTATTCAGTTGAATATCCTGTCTGATTCCTGAAGCCTCATCTGCACTGCTGTTGGCCCTCAGGGCTTGAAGCTGGTTTCAGTGAACCTTATTTATGTTTATGTGGGTGTTCTCAGTGTGAGTTTTGGGTGGCCTTGTGCTTTGTTGTGATGAAACATGTTGCCCAAAATAGCACAGCTTACCAGGCAAAAGGGACTTGTGTGGATCAGTTGTCCATCTTCATTATTGTTTACTACTTCAGTTGGGTCAACTGCAAGCTTTACTAGCAGTGACTTCGTGTTTTCTTTCAAACTGTTGACTAAACTTCAGTACCAAAGGGTGAAGGGTGCTTACAGGGGTATGTCCCCTGACAGCTGTTACTGCCCTGTTGAATGATGATTTCCAATTTGATGTCACCTTCTCAGACGCAACAACTAGCCAGCTCTTAAACCAGTCATTTTTACAACAGTAACAAACAGCTCAGTTAAGAAATTTATATTAAATTTATATTAAGAAATTTATATTAAATAGCCCTTTTTAAATAAAATAATTATTAACATTAATCAGAGCCCCTTTTCTGTATAGTCACTCCAGTCTCATCATTAACTAATAGAGTAGCATTGCATAAATGTGCATTGTGTTGAGGTCTTTTAAATTTTTCCCCACAATAGTGGTGACCTGTTTGGGGTTTAGGGAGAAAACTAATCAGTCTAAACCTTCCCATTTAATGGAAATTGTGTATTATTTTTGTACTCTCTAAGCATTTTCTGTGTACCTGCTGCTTTACATGACTTTCTGCACGTAACATTAGGATTTTAGTATCTCTCTTCAGGGATTGTGTGACAGGTAACTGAGTCACTCCTAATGTTTTTTTAATATGAGGAGGTTTCTAAAGGCTTTTTTTCCCTTTTCTTTCCACAGGTGGTCCTTATACTTGTTTGAGGTGGAAATATGCAATTCAGTGGTAAGCACAGTTAAAATTTCTCACTTGGTGCCAGTACAGTGTTCCACAAGTGCCAGTTTGGCCTATTTGTTTTGAGAACTGTTTCTGGGTGGAGCAGTATATTGTCAATGAAATTACTGTTATGACGGGGAAGGGTGTGTTAAGTTTTCCAGAAATATTGATTCTTTTACAGTTGGAAAAAATACAGGTGTGAGCACAGAACAGGGTGTCTGATTTCTTATTTATAACTCTTCTGTTGTATTGTCAGAGATGTAAAATGGGAAAGAGGCAGAGATAACAGGAAAGTGGGAGTGGGGAGACACTGCCTCTTCCTTTCTTGTTCACACCAGTATGAAAGCAACAAGTGTTGATGCACTCTTTTCACAAGTAATATTTTCCCTGAAAGAAACAACTTACAATTCTAACATTTGACACCCTGAATACAGTTCTGATGTTTCTAAATCTATTTTTTAGAATACAGTCAGATAACTTTAACAATAAAGTATAATTAAGTTAAAAATCCAAGTTAAATGGATTTTGAAAACCTCAAAACCTAAAAGTTTGAAAAAAAAAAGGCACTTCATCTTTTCTTTTATAAACTCTACAGCAAAGTAAGTGGCTGGTAAGTGTATTTAAATATATTAAAAGTTATCTGTCACTCTGACAAAATGAACAATGTACAATAATGTGCAGTGCTTTGTTATGAGCAGGAAGCAGAACCACTAAGCAGTGCAATTGTTAGTGTATAGTAGTTTTACTTTTATGAAATTATGGAATTAAAAATGAAATTACAAATGAACTGAATTTAGCCATAGCTGATAAATGGGGCTCTTGGGCCTTGTTTTCAAGGTTTATGCATGCAGGAGACCATTAGACAAAAAAGTAACCTTCAGTTAGTTAAACCTTTTGGGTTTTAGCTATAAAGGTCTGTACGGTAATTTAAGCCAAGCTCATAATGTGATGGGGTTCTTTAGGGATCTCTGTAGATCCGTTAAATAGCTCAGAGACTTCAGGCTGGTAAACACTGCTCTTGCTAAATTTAAAGAGATGATTGATAAAGCGACAAACTCACATCCCTTTGTTTTGGGGGGGGGGGGGTTGTAGGGTTTCTTTAACTCAGGTTTGCAGGAGGACATCCACATTTATTCCCATCTTAACACTTTCTTCCCCATCCCCAAGCTTTGCCATCACAAATTACAGTGAGGGCTGGATAAATACCAAGTCTTAAGAAAAAAGTGACCTTTTTCTCCTTCGCATGGACTTCATATAGATATTATAAACTCATCCAAAAATTCAGATATGAATTCTCTGTTCTCCGGCCATGTAGCCATCTCTTCAAAAATACAGTCAGTGGCACAAGCCTTTTTGTGGACTCATATGAATCCAATCTTTGCCTGCCATCTCCAAACCTGCCACTATTTAAAACTGTATTTCTAGTTTTAAATGTCTATGTTTTGTCAACTCTCTCTGCAAACAAACAGTGAGCTTTCAGCTTTAAATCAACACCTCTGGAAACAAAGACAGGGCCTCTTATCAGCCTGCAGATCCCATTTTGTACGAGGAATCAAGGCCTTTGCTGGAATAACTGTATTTAAGATGCTTTGACCTGCATCATGGTTTGGAAGCTAAGTAATGACACCAACTTCTAGGCTGTCTGCTTAAAATAATGAGGGAATCTGAAGCTAAAAGGCAAAACACCCTCTCAAAACCATAATAAAGCTTGACCAGTTGTTTTACTGATTGATAAATGTAGGCTTCTTGAAGGTTTACAACAGTTTATTTTGCATTAAATCTGTCTATACAGCAGATATCTTTCTATTACATGGTTAACATGCAACTCCTGTTCCAACTCCAGAATAACAATGCTGTCTTCAGCAAGAAAGCAAAAATCTTCACAGCGGGTTGGTGACACATGGATATTGGAGACCAGGACAAGCTTCAGACAGACAGCTGGGAAAACCAAAGGTCAGAAAGTATTTAGTTTTCCTGGTCCATATGTCAGGGTAACAAAACAAGGGAAGCTGCAATTGCTTCTCAGGCTTTGTGGCCATATATGTGGAAAACTGAAAGACCTTTGTGTTCTTAATTTTGTCTTTTTTTATATGTATATAAAGAGAAAGTATATAAAGAGAAAGTAGTTGTCAGTAAACAGAAAGAGATGAGCAGACAGTTATCTCCTGAAAGGGAATTTGAGCCACTTGCAGATTTTACTGAGTAATGGTAGCACAGTTTAGGAATTCCTTGAGAGATTTCCAAACCCATATGACTAGTAACCACAGCGGTAGTGGATCAAGGGTTGGACTTGATGATCTCAGAGGTCCCTTCCAACCCGGCTGATTCTATATGAAATGTTCTTGCTTAGAACTCGTGTCTGGGTTTTGCATCCACGTAGATTCATTGGAAATACCAGGTTCTGGTCTAAACTGACAGACTTTTGGCAGGACAGGGCTCAAGTTTAAGGAATAAATTTTAAGCATGACGGGTGAAATGCTACTGAGATAACAGTGTCACTGACGGGGGTTGGAGTGGGATGAATTACCTGTCTGTATGTATTCTGTATACAGGTTCCATGATGGCAGTGTGCATTTTACCCTTACAAAGAACCTCTTTAGTGCTGGTATACCAAATTCTAGTCTCTTTTTATTAGCGTGCCTACACTTGAGCACGAGGCTGCTGCATGATGTGGTTCAAGCTATTTGCATCTGTGCCTCCTGGAGGTGGCTTTCCGTCAAGCCGATTCCAGTTGCCATCCTGTCTATATTGAATTTCTCCAACAGATAAGCTACTTCCCTTCAGAATCAGTGAGCATAAAAGCCACAATTTAAAACCTTCAGACAGGGCAAATTCACCAGGAGTGTGAGATCCAACCCCTCCGAGCTCCTCTGAATGGATGGGAATGCAACGAGGAGCCTTGCCCCAGAACATGTCAGATGCTAAAGCTCAAGTGTTCTGACTTTAGCTACTATAAATAGAGATAGTATAAATACAGATGGTATGAGTATTGCAAAATACAGTTTTCTATGTTTTACCTTAAAGTCTCTGTGTCCCCTTCTTCAGGGAGTTTGTAAGACTAGTGAGACCATGCAAATGTCTGTTAATTAACTGGATTAAACAAAGATGCTTCTAAGCTATCTCCCAAATGCTTTTCCTGAGAGGAAGCTTTGAATAATTAAGTATCTTTGGCTTCAAGGTAAGCACACAATATTTCCTGTCACCAAATTCTTCCCAAGTAGCAGGATAATGATATTGGGAATTGGGTAGTTCAGCACACTCTTTTCTCCCTCTGGTCTTAATGGAAAGCTCCTAGAGACATCCACTGTTGTAGAGATGGCTTTCATATCTGTCTGTAAAACTAATATTTCTAAATGGGTTATGAGAAAATCTAACAGAAATCAAAGGAGAAAAGAGCAAATATGTTCAAAAAGTCTTTGCAGAAGGGGAGATAGAATGTTACTGCCTGAGTAGATGGGAGTGCTGCCATTATCACAAAGACCACTATTAGAAAAGTTGAACAGTGTTATAATATTGTAGTAGTTCATGACAAAATATGAGATACAGGATGCTAAGCCATATAAAGCAAAGGTACTTTTTAACTTTAAAATCCACTGGTCCAATTGCAAAGGTTCTGGCTTTGCTTACCAACTCAAAACTAAAGCAGAACTTCAGTCATGGTTTGCTCATGTAAAAGCTCATGGGACATTCTTGCAGAGTGGAGATGGTACCATCTAGTTATTGGTTTGCTTGTTGTTCAACTCTGTCTCCAGTCAGTCCTTCCATTACGCTGTACCTGTGAAATCACACTTCTTTATTCTGCTTCAGCGTGGAGGCTGTTGTCTCCTCCTTCCCACAACGTGAGGAGTATTTATATAAAGGTTCAGTTCTCTTCACAGTCTGTCTGACAAACACAGTTTGTCTTGTACATGCCGGTGTGGGAGGGCTGGAGAACCTGTTTGACCATTTATATATTGACAGAGCACTTGTGCCATTTGGAACCAGAGAGCAGACTGGTCTCGGTGAAAAGAAAAGCCTGCTCAAATTCCCCAAAGCCTTGCCTAATGTACTGGTGTATCATCTTTCTAGTGGTTGCCTTTTTCTGGCAGCAATCCAAAGTCAGCAGCTGAAGAAGGGATGAGATAATGACCTCTGAAATATTGATCTGGTATGCTGGCAGCGCAGCAGATTTCCCAATAGTGAGCTCGGGTGTACAGCACCTAAGAGTCTGTTATTCATTTTGTGCAGCACAGCCAGTGCATAGCCTGGGTCTGGATTATCCTTTTTTGGGGTGTACTGCTGCATACTTGTTGATGTGTCAGAACTAAAATGGTGTGCTGGTTGACTTTTTTACCAGTGAATTGGGGATCATGTGGCAAGGAGAGGAATGATGCCATTGCCTTTCAGTAGGGTGGCTGTGCATTGTCTGCTCCATTTCCATTCCCTTTCCTTCTTGCCCTCTTTGCCCTGGCTCTATGCTTCCTGGCTTATTTTCAAATCCTAACCAACTTTGATCTCTCCATGAACACTGTAGCTACATTTCATTTTTTCTTTCCCACTGCCCCCCTGTGCAGAGAGATAATTGAATTGTCAACACTTCTTTGAGATTGAGAAAGTAATGCATCTCTACTGAGTGCTTCAGTAGCATCAAAAGTCTTTAACTACAGTATGGCTTATGGCCTGGAGAATAGAATTTCTGCGATGATAAGGTTAAGGGAGACTAAATAGAGAATTAAAATGTCTGTATTATCTGCTACTGAACAGTTGAAGGCAAATGTGAAGTGCTACAATAGACAGTTCTTGTGATAAGAATATCCACTGCCTAATCTTGGGCTGAGCTCTTGTCACTGATACAGGAGTGGAACTGCTCTATGCTTGCACTTTTAGTATGGTCCCAAGACCATGCACTAGGTGTTTCCAGTAGAAAAAGTGGCACATTTCTCATACCAAAATTGCAATCAAAGGATAGGTAAATGAAAGGTAAAAAGCAAGAACTGCCATTTGAAATACATATCTTGTGGTGGTGCTAAGAGAATGATGGAGTATGTGCACACTGTCACAAAGAGAACAACATTTCTAGCCTGGACTTGTGGCTGCTGGTAGGAAGCAGCAGATGGATGTGAGAAGTAACTAAAACCTTCAGTTTCTTAAAAACTGGGGAAAAAAATAGAAAAAAAGAGTTTGCTGGAGGTCTTTGTACTTTCCTCAGTTTAGTCCAAAGTATGTTTGTGTAATTTGAAACTTTGGCTTGTGACTTGCCTTTCAGATTAAGCAACATTTGGGGAGGGACATAAGGGGTGTGAGGGTTTTTTGTGGTGGTGGGAGTGGAGGGGATGACTGTCTTCTTAATTACTGACATACAGGCTACAAATCCATCCTACTAGCAGGCAAAGGAGCCACTCAGCTACTAGTGTAGCTACTTTGTCAAATCCACTCGTTCCTACCTTCATATCCTGTATCAATTACTCTGTCCTGTGTGACTCCCCTGTCTCATTTTCACTCCATTGGTCATCTGCCCAAATTCTCCTGAAGTAGGGGGCACGGGGAGCAGGCAGAGAGGGAAAGGCAGGAGGGTTCTCATTACAAATCTGGATTTGAGACAACACATTTAATCCTTAAGGCAAAACTACTCCAATGACAGTTGAAATGTTCGGCCTCCTCAGTCCATTCCCCAAAATGGTATTGTTTATGACAATCCCTTAACGTTATGTCATGAGCTTGCAAATACACAGGCATGGCATATGATCACCCACCCCCAAGGAATAGCAAAGGCAGCAAGAAGGAGCAAATGCCGCCTTGCAGGTTTCTGTTTCAGCCAGGGCTGGAGCTATCACTGGCAATGATGTCAAGGTTATCCTGAAATGTGTGCCCAGTGATGTATTTCTTGCTACTTGCCTCACTGCTGAGGCAGCAATTCAGTCGACACCAGCAGGATCATGAAGAGGTAACTGGAAGCTTTGCCTCACTCCCAGTGGAGAAAGCAGTGGCACTGTGTTTATTGTGAGAGTTCCTGTGTGTACAATGCTCAGCACAACTGGGCCAGGTCTCAGATTACAGGGTAGGGGGGCTTTGGGGATTGCACTAGCACAAATGGGACAGATTGTTCAGAGAAACCAAATAACGTGAGCATCTGGTAAATGCAACATCTAGATAATATGCATTAAACAGTTATTGTGTTATGCATAAGGAGAGTGCCTAATGCCTAATAATCTTCAAAGGAAAGCACAGAATTCCAAGTCATTGGAGAAGTATGAATCAAAGAGTGGCCCGAACGCAGCTGAGAGCTCAATACAGGGACTGAGTTCCAGCTCTGATTGCTTGCAGTCATCTTCAGCTGGACTGTTCAATTAAATAAAAATACTGTTTATTAGACTAAAGAAAATGGTCCTCTGTGAGAGCTGGTAGCTGTACTTCCCAGGATTTCACCTGGCAAATTCCCTTAGCATCCCTCATGCTTAGGGTGTGATGTTTTGAAACAACCTTTTAAAACTGAGGGCGATCTCAGGCCAGCCCATCTTGGTGTTCAGAAAGGAAAGCTCTGCCAAACCGGGTGAATGTTTTGTGAGCGCCAACACGTAGGTTCGTGTAGAGGCCTTCCAGTGCCGCCTGGCTGCTGTCCTGGACAGCTCCTGTTTTGTGACTCATCAGGGAATTTGGATGTTCATCAGCCCCACCTCTCCCTGGTGGCTCAAGCAAAGCTCCAGGAAAGGAGCAAGGATGGCTCAGAGGGTGGATGTACACCAAGGATATCCAAGCCTGCCAAGGGAGGTCCGTGGTCTGCTTCTCCTCCCAGAAGAGGAAACAAGGTTTCTGTGCTTGTGCTGGAGGCCCTAATGTTGGGGGAAATGGTGACTTGAGACTCTTGAGAGATGTTTCTGAAATCTCCAGGGAATTAACAGACAAAAGCATTCCCTCTGTGGGCTTTGCCACTTGCCTGATAACAACACTGAGCAGGATTTTTAACCTGTGCTTTTAATCAAACAATTAAAGCCTGTAATCATCGGTCTCCATTTTTTTCCAGAATATATCCAGAATTTACCTAATTTTAATTTTATCAGGTTTTAAAATGGTCATAGTTGAATTGATGCAAACCATCACATAAAACTCTTCCTTCTTTTTCAGTGGATTAATCTGAAATGGCTTTCTCCAAAGATAAATATAAAATATATAGGAATAAGTGTCTCTGTAGCAAAGATCACTCTATCACCCCCTCACTCCTTTCTTGTGTAGGCAACCCTGGAACCCCTTTTTCAATCTGTGCATGTTTCATAAAATTGACATGGATATTGGTATTCATGAGCTCCTTTCAGCTCTTAAATAAAATACTGTGTAAGGTTGTGTATCAGAATTCCAATGTGGGGCCAACCAGAGTAAAAATTAAGTATCTTACAAGTGGAGCATAAGACTTGGCCTGGAACTGAAGACAAAATGAATCTCTCTCAAGGCAGGCTAAAATCATATCCCCATCTCCTCGTTTGGATTTTACTATCACTACTCACTTGTATGTCTTAATTTGAAAATATCAGCACTTTCAAATTCATGTTAAATATGCTGCCAGGGGAATATTACAGTGCTGGAAGAAGAACTTTTTTGGCATGAAAAATGGATAGCAGTAGTCAGAACATTGAGGAAATGCTGTTTTACTCTGTCAGGAACTGTGGAAGTTGAGCCAGATTTCTGGATCCCATGTCAATAGTCCAACTGCTACCTTTGTACAGTCGTGTCTGAGCAAGTCTGACACAGAGGTGCTGAGCTCTGTTTAATGCTCCTGGACTTAGTGCTCTGAAGAATTAGACCTCCTATCCTTACAGTCTCCAATTCAGGCACACTGGCAGAATTGGCTTGTTCTGTTGCCGGCTTTAGTAAGAGCAAGTTGTCAACATCTTCAAAAGCTGGACCAAGAGGATTTCTGTTCCACCTGCCCTTTCCTTTCTGTGTATTCCCAAGAGGAATGTCTGCCTGAGAACTGAAAAACTGCCACCCTGATGTGTGAGATATGTGTTTGCTTGTTTTCATCTGTCCTGTCCTCAGTGCAAGTGCTGGGCTTAACTCAGGCTATCTTTCCCAGTCAGGCAGTCTGGGAAAGGCTGGCACTTGTGTCTGAGGGCAGGGGGGGGAAAGAAAGGGTGTTATTTTTACAGAGCTGTAAATCCAGCACCTTTTGCCAGTGCTGCATTCTTTTTTTATTACTTATTTCTAAGAAGCTATTGCTGCAACAGCACTGGCTGCAAACAAAATCTCATTTACTCAAGGTTCATGACAGGACAGGCCGTGCATTTTGCACATTTGTGGGACACTTGTAAAGGAAATACAGAGCACGCTTTCCAAAAGCTTCAGCTTGAAATGCAACAGCTTCCATGCTGCCTGGAGCTTCAATGTCAAAGAGATTTCTATTTTTAGAGAGAGATTCTACTCAAAGAGCTATATAAGGCTGTGCTGGGGAGACCATTACTTTTTTGCAATAGGTGAGAATATTTGTTACTCAGTGAGGAAGAAAAATTCTGTATAAAAGTGGAAAACACAAAGATACTGTGACTTGAATGTCTTTTGTGGATGAGAGGGAACTGGGATAAAAACTGAAGACCCAGTGTTTGGCTTTCAATGTTCTAATTTCTCTCAACTTCTTGAAACAAGTGCTTTAGCCATTAAAAATATCAGAGAAGGCTCTTGATCACGAGTGATGATGCAAGAGAGAGGAGATAGTTCCAAGCACAGTTTGGTGCCAAAAGACAACTTGCTACACTAAACATGTGACAACACCAGGAAAACCCAACAAATAACCATCATGTCCTTCATGGGTAAACTAGGGAAAACTTGATGTTACGGATTCAACCTTTACAGCTACAGTTTTATTAGTTAACCTGAGTACAAAGTGCGCCTAAACTGAACGGGTGCTGCAGCAAAGCCATCAGAGACAGTAGTCAGGTAGGCTAAGAATAGTAGTCACAGTTTACAGCAGAAAAATGGAATGGTATCTGATGTACTGGCTTTGCTGGGAAGCCTTCTTCTAAAGCCTATTTTTTCCTCGCATAGAACCATCCAGCAAACACATAATTCCATTGCCCTTAATCTCTGGGTTTTATTTATAGGTAGGAAAAATGTCTGAACAGAATTGTTTAAACCTGTATTCTCAATTAACTTACTCAATGTCATTTCTCCTGCAGTTTTAAGAGGAACTGTTTGGCTTTCAGTGGATAATATATCTATGAAGCATGGGAGACTTTCTGGACTCGTTGAACTTTCGGAGGCAGCCCAGGTAACACTGGTTTTAGCAGCTGTTGCCAATGTTGGCACAGCAGTTGGGGCCAATATGATTTTGCTTAAGTAAGGGCTAGATGAGGTAACAGAGCTAAATTAAGGACACTGGGTCCACTTCTGCTGTAGTCTGACACAGCTCCTGCAATGAATTCTGAATTGGAGACAGGACTGGTGTTTGTCCTCATCAGGGCCAACTGATGATGGTCTAAACTTGCCTTGGGTTCTACTTCTGCTTTTATATTGTCCAGCTAGCTGTGACATAACCTGTTTGGCTTCAGGTGAGTAAAATTGGGAACAGCTACACTGTCTGAACGAGGGGTGAAAAAACATAGCAACTGGAAGCGATCACTTCATTCCCGTAACATAAGGAAAGACAGCAGTCTTGCGTTGTGCAGAAGGTAAGACAGGGCGCACTAGCCGATGGCAAAGCAGAACCATAGGCAGCAATGGCTGAATAGCTTGAGCTAGGGAAATTCCTTCATCCACCCAGTGCACTGAGCCAGGAATAGCAGGAAGGATAACACTCTCTACTTTGACATTTGTTATTCAGAAGAAATAAAATTATCGACGCTGAGACGTGCCTTTAGAATGCTTTGGAATACACTGGCATACTGATGCTGGCTTCTTATTAACACTATGAGAAGCTGTTCAAGTATGCTGGGGGAAGTACCACTCCGGACGAACTGCTGTGCACACGGGTACTTTCGCAGAGTTATTGGTGAAATCAGCGTTACGTACTAACTGTATTTTGAATATAGGGCGGGGAGGGAGCAGCTCGCTGGCGGTGCTGGCACTGGGGGCATTTGCCGTGCTGAGGTTCAGGGAATTATCTGAGGGATGAGGGAAGCGACCGTGTCCGCTTCCCGCGCTTTTGCGCAGCTCCGCGCTGCCCCCTGGCGGCCGGCTCTGAGGGCGGACCGGCGACCGCATCCGTGCGGGAATCACCGTGAGGGATTACGTATTGTAAACTTCAGGAATGTGGCCATAAGTCTGCTATATGGTTCTGCTAAAGGCCTTTCGTTAGTGTCATATTCACTCCTGGAGCGGCTCCACACAGACCAGCCCCTCACCCGTCGCAGGAGTCGAAACTGTGCTGTCCCTCTCCCCTGTGAGGGGCCTCTGCACCTCCCGTGGTCTCACGGAGGAAGCCCCCGAGGAGTGTCCCCGTGGCAGTCCCCTCTTCCTTCCCAAATGTGCCCAGTGTGCCGCTGTACCCCGCCGCGAAGGCGCGGCCCTCCCTCGATCCCCCTCACAGCTGTCTCCGGGCAGGAATCCCGGGCTGCCTCTCCACAGTTCCTGGACAGTTTCCTTCTGGGATTAAACAAATCCCCACACTGTTTCCCGAACAAGCAACTGGTTGAGGGTTTAGTACTTAATTCTGACTTTTGCTGGCTACACGTTCAGATGGCAATGAACCTTTTCCTTCTCATTTTTACTGATACACCCAGCAATTTAGGATATGGAAAAGGCTTCTTAAAGTGTGCATACACCTGGTCAGTCAGTTGTCTTAATGTATTCTCAGTTATCTTCCTCAGTGTCATTTCCACTGAAAGTTTCATGCTCTACTTGTAAACTACTGTTCTGCACTTGAATTTCTATTTATTTTGTTACCTGTTGTCCAGAGGGAGATTAGAACTGCTAACTGCTAAATAAATAAAAGTTTCTATGTGATCGACACTAACTGTTTAATAATGACATAAATCTACTACATAGTGTTTCCGTTGTTAAATGTAAATACAAATACATTATTATACAAATGCCTAGTCCAAGGCAATAATAAAGGACTGTAAGCTCCAAAGTTAACTTTTGGACCTGAGAATGGGGAGTCTTAACTGAGGTAAAAGCTCTTTTTTGTTTGTTCACAGCAAGGTATAAAATCCTGCATCACTTGAGCTTCTCCTGCTGCACTGGCTGGGTATGTTGAAGGAAAAAGTTGAAAGAGCTGAAAACCAAGGAGACACAACATCAGACCTGAAATTTTAGTCATCATCGATTGAACATATAAAATGGTTAGTACAAGGATATTTGATCATTTAAATTGGCCTATATTTCTACTTCATTTGCAATCCCCTATTTTATAGTAACTTCAAAATTTTGATGAATGCCATTAGAAACTGACCCTGCAAATTTTTTCTTCAGCTTTATTCCAATGTCTGTCTCTTGTGCCCCTCTAGATAAGCAGGCTTCTGTTTTCTGTGCACAGCAGTTTCCAGTCATGTCACACAATTCTGCATATTAAAAAGTCTTTAAATAATATAGTGAGACCAAGCTCTTCTTTAAGAAAAAAAGCAGCATCTTCTTACTGAAATGCTGCTGTAGGAGACAAATAGGATTAAGCAACATCATTGTGCTGTAAACAGACACCAGCAGTCTGTAAGTTTTCATTGTACAATCATTTCCTCAGGCCTCCTCTAACTAGCTGAAGGTTCACTCAGCAGCACAAAATGCACAATGTTACAAAAACCAGCTGTATTGCGTGTGTGTGATTGTACAAGCCTGAATTTAGTTAAGGATAAAGATTTCTTTGAAAAGCCACTAATTTCCAAAATATTTGTAAACATCTTACTAATCACGAAGTCTTTTCCTGTAGCTGTTTTAGAAATATATTTGCCATAATACTTGTTCTGAATGCCCAAGCAAGAAGTAAAGAACTGGGTAAAAGAAATGAGATTGAGGGAAAATGCTAAGTAATCATTTTTCTGTTAAGTAATTCCAAGTAATTAAGTAATTCTAAGTAATATGTGGTTGTATGTGATCATACATGTTTGTCATTAAAACTAGATGTGTGAACAACATATATAAAGAACACTGAGTAAATGTGGGATTTTTTTTTCTGTCTTGTACCCTATTATTCTCGCTTTCCTGTGATATAGAAAAAATATGATAAAGATTTTATGGTATTATCGTAAATCATACATATGAAAATGTAGCTGACACTAATAAAATTGTACTTTGACTAGTTTAACTGCTATTTCTAGCTTTATGAAGTTGGTGGTTGTTTTGAAGTATGGCAACCATTCTTTTCTTTTTAATGCAGGGGACACGTTCCTTCAAAGAAAACTGTACATCAGAAGTCTGTTTTTACAAGAAATGCACAAAAGCAGCCCTCAGTGTAGAGTACTTGCTGAGGATTATCAATGGGCTGGTGTTAGCTGCCTCTCTTCCTCAGCAGTTTCTCTTGGCAAGTCACTGCAATCCCCAGAGCATCTGAAGCTGCAGTGTGACACTACTTGTGTATTTTGAACAGAGTGAGAAGTGCTCAGCAAGCTGTTGAATTGGGATTTGCATATTTGCCATGTGGAATTACGCTGTTGGAATGGGCGTGATGATATTGTCACCAGCTGCTATCTGGAGATAAAAATATCCTTCCCATTTTCACCTTGTTACTCCCCCTGTTCCTGTTGTTGTGCTTCTCATGAGCTCAGTGACCTAAGTACCATTACATTGTGCTACTATATCTTAAATACATGAATTATTTATATGCAAGTCACAGGGTTTTTTTTTTCAGTACAGTCAATGCTGTGCTGAAAATCCCTCTGTACACTAAGCACAGTTGAAAAGCTGCTTGCACTTTTAAAATCTGGATTTTAAAATGGTGATCATGCTGATCACCACCAGAAAGCACAAATATATCTTTGAAGAAGACAGATTATGTATTAAAAGTAAAGTGGTGGAATTCGGTCTGTCTGTCTTGATAATTCCTGATTTTTTTCACTCCTGTTGAGGAGGTGCACACACACGCTGTGCCCTTTGTACAAAGCAGTATAACGTAGTTTTACCTTAAGGAGATAATAACAAAGACCTTCACTGTAATTCCATGTTATTTTAATGGAAAGCTTTACTACCAGTACAAAGTTTAGTTCTCCGTGGCAGGTGAGACTGCTATTTTCTGATTACAGGTTTTCCAAGTCAGGTTGTATTAGAGTTGGCTTGTTGGGAGAAGTTAAGCAGTTCCCAAATGGCTCTGTGCTCATCTCAAGCAGCAGAGGGCAGTGAATCCACTACTCAGAAAAATGAAAATGTCTGATCATCGAAAAATTGTTATTCTCTTCCCTTACAATGACTCAGAATGAATTCTGAAGTCATTCCCTATCAGAAGTGGCCACTGTAGGGTACACACAAAATAAAGTACAGGTCTTTATAGGTATCATGATGATTATTTTTATTTAATAGACCCAATACAGGCACAATTAGATAAACTGGGATTATTTTGTTCGGAACTGTTACTTGCAGACCAGAGTACTATTTGCTGCCCTGCATATGTTGTTGTCTTGATATGTTGTAAAAGGGAGCAGAGAAACAAGGCCAAGCAAAAAGCAAAAGGACATAAAGCCAAAATTAAAACTCAGTGAAAGGAGTACTAGGGACACAAAAAATACTATCTGCAGCTACAGTTCTGTGTGGCTTTTTTTGTAATTTTACATGTCTGAATATTTTTTGTCAGACATGAAATATGAAGATCAAGACCTGTCTGGTTAGGCTGAGGCTGTTAAAAAACCCACACCCAACCAAAGTCCAATCAACTAAAAAACCAAGAAAGCTTGTGACTCTTCCTCAAAAGCTCTTCAAAGCTGCTGACTTTAAAATTCAGTTTTCCAAAGAGGAGTAATTTGATGTGAAATATTCAGGCAGCTTTATTAAAAGCCATAGCTAAAATAATTTCTGATGGAGGTATAGCACACTCATAATGCACATTAAAAGTGTTGTGAATTCTTCAGTACCATTTTCACATTTCTTAATATGTTTTTATGGACCCTTTAGGCTAACAGTAAGAATCAGAAGTTTGATCTACCTGAGATAGGGAGATAGGGATATTTTATCTTTTTTTTTTTTTTTGGTCCTCACTAAAGCCATTCTGATAGAGCAATTTTTGTCGCTCTCTGCTTCTCACACATTATTTGATGTGGGAACATAAGAATTTTCACCAAATCTCTCTAGGCAGGAAAATATCCCCATGAGATTGAAAATTGGCTGTTATCATTAATGACAGGTCTCCTGTGAGTTTCTGTATTTCCTTACAAAAAACATACCACACTTTATTGCAAGATAAAGATCTTTGATAGGAACACTATTAATGTACTCAGAGACACCAGGGAAGGAATTTTCTTACAAGCCTTTGAAGTCATTTATCATTATTGTCTGACTTTGCAGGGTTAGATCCTTTAGAAAATGGTATGTTTTTTTTTAAAAAAAGTCACATTCTACAGCCCAGCAGCATTATAGCTTTGTGTCATGGATCCCCTTCTATGCTTTTTTTCATTAATCCTTCAGTGAAACAAGAGTATACACATAAAATTACTATTGAGAGCCCACAGGCTGTGATTGTTGGCATTATAAGAGAACTACATTCAAAATGATCTGGAAAATGCAAGACAAAAAGTGGAATTATATAATTTGTTAGAGTAATGCGAATTTCCACTTGGAAAATGGAATTTATGAAAACAAGAGGTGTCTTGCTGACACCAGTTCAGCTGCAAAGGATCTGGAGGGTGTTTAATGTGTTTCTAAACTAAATAAAGGAAGCCTGGGGCGGGAGGTAGGTGGTAGGGTCTTGTGTGTTTTGGGTTTTTTTTCCTTAAGGAAAGAGGGAAATGTGATCCTGGGCCATATTAATGGGACAGCTCAATCTGTAGGACCTAGGAGGTAATTATTCATCTTTACTTGGCGCTGTGAGTGCTCTGTCAAGCTCAGAGAGATGTGGGCAAATTGGAAAGGGCCCAAAGCAGATCAGTAAGTATGGTAAAAGAGTTAGAAAGCATGACCTATGAGGAAGCTGGGGAGGAATTTACTGTATTCAGTCTTTCTCTTTTGGAAAAAAAAGCCCACAGAAAAACAACTATAGACATGGGAGGGAGGACTTAACCTCTTCCCAGCAGGAAGCTATTATAAAGAAGGCAGTAAAATTGTTTGTTCTTGTTTGTAGGCTTCAGACAGCAAGAAATCAACTTGCAGCAAAGAAAATTTAAGCTTACATATTCAGTGGTTCTGAGGCTGAGGAAAGACTTTGATAAATTAGGGGCCTGGAAGCCTCTTCACTGGAGTATTTTAGATGAGTTTAAGCAAATTTCTGTCAGGAATTGCCTAGGTTGATTTAATCCTCAGGGCTAGAAGCTGGTTTGCAGTGTTGCTTGAGTGAAGTTTTGCTCTGGCAAAGTCTGAAGACTTAGGTTTTGGCGAAGTCCAGTTGCAAGAGGTCATCAGTGCAGTTGGTAGATATGGCCCAAATCAGTGGAGTAAGCAAGTCTCAAGGCACAAGCAGCCCCACACACCCATGGTCAGTGCTGGAAGCTATCTAAGTGACCTTGTGGGAAAGGGGAAAATCCAGCCAGGAGCCCAGTCTACAGGACCTGACTGAATCCGTAGTTACCACAGTGAGTGAAAAGACCCATACAAACATGTCTTAACTGTACTCCAAACGCAGCCTTCTTTCATCTTAGTTTTGAGAGAGTGACTGTAACATGCATCCTTAAAAGCACAGGGCCACTTTGCCCCTGTGTCTGAAAAAAAATAGCTTAACAGAAGATAAATGCATTTCCTTCTAGAGTAACTCAGCACAGAACTTGGACTGCATAAGGCCCAGACTGATTTTACACAAGAAGGCAGCAGCCACAGAGGGAGTGTATTGTATGATCTCTCCCATTCATTTTGGGTCAGTGCAAGAAGCTGTAGTCTGTGCTAGACAGGATTCCTCAATCACCTTGAAAGGATTACTCCACTTGCATTAGAAAGCCTGATGGTGACTGTAACAAGGTCTGGTTATGGAAACTAAGACTCCTATAGCTCCCAGTGCCTTTATCATACCTTTCATCTGGATTCATCTGGCAAAATTGATTTCAGCTCACTTTTGCTGTTGGGAGTGTAATTACCTTCTGAAGTATTCTGAAGATAAGTGTCTGAATGATTCAGTGAACAAGTGCTTCATTTCTTTCCTGCCCCAAGTTCATATCCAATATAGAGGATCTGGAATGACTTTGATGTCAGCCTAAATCCCCTGCAGATACTTATTCAC